ATTTTTGTTAACATCTTGTTAAAAAGACAGACTATCTCCTTATAACAAATCGCATAAATTGTATGACCCACTCGTTAAAGGACGTTCGATAGAGATAACGGAACCTACATAATTATTACATTTATCTACAAACTTCAGTCTTTGTGCAACCTGTAAACTTGCCAATGTATATGATGCATGGCTTTTTGAATGAAATACACTGATCATGAAAACAAAACAATTTGCAGGAGATTGAAGCAAGCCGACAGGACGTGAAGTTGTTGAAAACTTGGTTCTAGTGAGAAAAATCGTTGCAAACTTGAAAAATAATATGATAAACAAGATCAACAAGGAAAGGTGGCGTTTAATTAACGCAACCCCCCACATCCCAGCAACAAAGTACCAGGAGCAGGAGGCCAAGCAGGACCCCAAACAAAAACAGGACAGGACACAAGGCAAAGCATAGACAAAAAAATCACTCCGATAATACATAAAAGAAAATAACAGTAACCGATAACGAAATAAAGAAGACGATTTATTGATTGATGTACAGGCCAACAAAGTAAAGGGGCACAGGGGAAGGGGACTAACCGTAGACGAGAAAACAGAAAGAAGGGACACAAAATTTCATTATAGTAGTATGGAAAAACAAACAATACATACATCTGAGGAACACAAAGGGGTGCCGCCTTGGAACGATCAACAGCCTAAGCACTGCTGGGGAGCTGAAATCGGTTGTTGGTGCACCAAACCTCACTCTTAGCCCCATCATGTTCCTTTTTCAAGGAGGCAATGCAAATAAAATGAATCTCCGCCAAATGAAATTCTAAAAGTTGTTATGGTAACAAAAGGTGAAAAGTTAAATACAGAAATGCTCATGTAGAATTGTATAAAAGTAAACCAAATGGCCATAACAAAAGTACTTAATGTCTTAAAGAAAGACAGAGCAACGAGAAATTACACACAAGGGCCCGACGAAGCAGAAGACGAACATTGAGACAATTTAGTCCCAAAGTGTTTTAAGAACTGTCCATCATAGAGTGCCCCACTTGGTCCTTCAGTCGTTATCAAAAGAGGAAAGTGTAGTGTCCAACTGAAATAGGGTTTGACACTAAGCATGCGGTATGTCTTAAAATCGTATGGTCATAACCTCATTTAAAACAAAACGTTTAATAATTTTAGTAAAGACAACAGAAAAAGTTACCAAGATCCTACGAAGTTTGTAAATCACATCCCCATAAAAACAGACTTGTTTATTCCTTGTCGCAGAATTTTATGATAGCTTGCTAGTAGTAAAAATATTATGCTCTTTTACATCCTTTATGTTGCTATGAACTGTGGCAAATCTAATTAACTGAGAAAAATATATACCCCGTAACATGATACATGGGGTACGTCTCCGTCTACATTAAATGCTACAATAACATCTTGCTGTTTATCTTCAGTCGCTTTCATGGCAATATAAAAGCAAGTCGGTGACTAGGGGTGCACAATTAGTACCCATAGGAAATCTAATGTTCTGTTTAAATAGGGCATTACCAAACATGATATAAATGTTGTCTAAAAGAAAAGAGAGTGTTCTACAACCTTTGTCACAGATACACATAGTTTAATGTTTGTACACTACAGTTTGTAAAGAAAGCGTTTTGAGATTACATGCAAGAAATGTTACTTTTTCCCATGAATCTGTTCTCTGAATAAGGGAATTAGTTTATCATTAAATAACTATCATTATGCGACAGTGTTGTAAAAAGGGTAGAAAAATCGTATGTACTGACAGTTTAAGTTCTATGCAAAATTTAACCAGTTTTTTATATGTATATGTTATTGTTTATCCGTGCTGTTCTACAGAAATTAGAAACTTCGACGGGAGCGATAGCGACTTATTTCTGTAGAACACTAACATATTTAGTGTAAAACTATTTGGCCTCATTCATATTCACTTTATTACGTCACTTCCGGTCCGCTTTCTGAACGTTGGGTTTAAATTTGACCTTATAAATATGCATGATTTACGTTAATACGCATGAAGTTTTCATTTGCTCGGTATGGAAACATTTAAATTCAACAAACATTTTTATTGAGTTAGACAATTGATACATGAATTCCATACACTATCTGTCATGTGTAAACAAGTATTTTCCAAAAACATCTTCTTTCACTTTCTGTCTACCCCCCCCCCCCACACGGGACTTTCCTCTTAATAACAAATTAATTTAAACATTTCCTACATTCGTAACAAAAAATATTAATTGACTTATTGTATAGGTTTTTACTTTTACACGTCCAGTATCTTTTTCGCCAAGACGAGGATTTAAATCTGAACTGCTTGTATATATATGTATATATATAATGCAAAATTAATGTCGGTTGACCTTTTGACGTCATTATTTATGAATTACTTTTCAAAAGCGACCCACTAAAGCGCATATGCAAATTTATGCAGATGACTATTTTTACAAACGCGGTTCTATGAAGCACTATGAAAAAAATAAACCCACTATGAACTGTATTTGATAAAGTATCGATTTTTGTTCTTCTATGAAAATCAACGCACGGAATTTTTAAGAAATACAGCGTTTTCATTGGATGACATATTACGTTGGACACTAAACCAAAAGAGAGGTTTGCCTGTGTTTTCATAGACTTTATCAAAATATCTATATACATGTGTTTTAATGGCAGACAAACAATATGTCATTAAAAAAAGAAAGTTTACTTGTAGTGCAAGAGGCAGAATTAGCAATAAATCTAGCTTTGTAAGGTTTAGGAATCCAATACATAAAGAAAAAGTTTGAGTTCTTTTTCATCAATTCGGACGTTGATACTGGAAATGTTAGTGATATGATTGTTAACAATGTCTTTTTCAGAAGCATTAGATTTAGAATACCTATTGGTACTATTAAACTCATTTGTAATAGATACGTCATACAGCAATGATTGTATTTGCCGCCTTGTCGTCTGGCACCAAAACAAAGTTTGAATTAAAAACTGGCTACCGACTCATGAATATTTACAACACCGGCACATTTTCTACAGGTAAGTGAGTGGGTTTGTATGTTATTTTGATTTTTTTTAATAAGCCTATTCCTTAACGCAATGTGTATGAAACTCTCGCTTTTGAGCTTATGATTTGACGAAGTTATTGAAGATATAAACTGGTCATGTACATATTTTTGCAATTTGACAAGTGGTCGGATTTTTTACTCATTTATTTACATCTTTAAATATATACTATACATAGGACAACCAAAAGCGTTAGTTTCCGAGACATGTGTTGTTCATGATTCCTTGACACTCTTCCCACTTAGCTACGACAGGGTCTTTCAAATCTACCCTGGCTTCGCTCACAATCGGAAATATACGGATTTTGGAATAACAAGTTCATGTTGATATGGATTGGAAGTCATCTTTATTCGTTATGAACTGGTCAAACTACTGTACTGATTTTCCAATATGCTTTTATTACAAGAAGTGACCCATAAATCTACCTTAAGCTTAAAAATTAGTATTCATGGTAAAGATGTGACTTTTTTTAGGAGAATGACATGCCTGACACATCAAAATGATCTTGATATATCGGGTTGATCGACATTTTTTTTGGCATAATGATCTCAAAGATAATACACCCCCTTTTTCACTGAAATTTTCTTTTACCACAAAACTGATATATCCTTTTAAGAATAATGTAAATATCCAAATGAAAAATTATCCAAGATTCTTATGAAACAGTTCATTTTCGTAAGAAAACAATGCAGTGTTAGTTTTTTCAAATATTTTTCATACTTGAAAACATCAAAATTTCATCAAATCACCTGATGTGCACTGAATTTTACTGATTCCTTGCACTTTCTAGCCAATCGCAGTCTATATTACAATACAGTAAACTGAACAATTGTTGGTAGAAAAATTAAAAGCCGTGACCAGGTCTTGTGACATTTTGTTAATGAAGAAGTTATTTGAGGACAGACTATTTAGTAAATAAAAAGGACATCTAGTCACGTTGTAACTCATCGAAAAAAAACTTCCATTTCATGCTCAAAGAGAGTGTGAGAATAACGTTACATGATGCAAGTGGCGGCCTAAAGTTTAGTTTTTGGATTTGGTGCCCTTTATTTTATCTCGACATTGGAATTAGCAATACAAACATTATTAACAGTCATTGTGATTTCCCTTTGATGTTTTGCCAATAGTTGTGGTTTAGATCTTCAATAACCAACAAACGAAGTTGACCTAAGAATTATACACACTAACAATGATTTTTTTATAAGAAGTGTATTTAATATTGGTAACAAATTTTCTGTTCCCCTAAGCATGTGGCGTTATTTTGGACAGAAAATTACCCGTATGTGAAATTGGTCTGGAAATTCTTAAAACAACCTCCTGATCATATATCTTACAAATATTATATTTATATAATATAACCTCTATAGCAACAACAAAGATTTGTTGTGACTTAAGCAACATTAAACACATCTGAAATTAGTAACCAAATACCGAGTATTGCATAAAACATATTCAGTTACTTTGCAATGTATTTATAATTTGCAAGTATTGCAATAAGATATCACATGATTATCTTTTCACAAATCATAAAAATGGTTCATGCTACAGTTATGTTATTTGCAACATTGCTCTAAATGCTAGTTCAATATGTAGTTAAAGGGTTCTCGTGCATACAAACATTCGTTCTCATTTCTATTAAATGCTACGAGAGTGGTCCAATGTGTACTATTCTACGTGTTGATAAACTTTTGTTTAGTTCTGTAAACTACGCGACTATTCGTGGCTTTTCATGGAATGACATAAAAGTATCACAGATAATGCTCCGTGATTACCACAAGATGATATACTAATGTTCCTGTATTGTACCACTTTCATATATGAATGTTGAACATTGCGAATATTGGAAGGTTTATTGTATTATTCACTGTCCATCAATCAAATGCCTGCAACATTGTCTATGTGCTGTATTAGACGAACTTCAAGTTTGTTTGTTTTTTTGTTTTTGTTTTATTTATGTTAAACATTGTACATGTATGCTCTTTTGAATAATACTGAATAATGAATAAAAATGTAAACAAACTGATACTTTAAGTCTTTATTAAAGTATAAAGATTTTTGCCCATCACCAAGTAATCCATGTCAAGATCGGGTTTTATCCTGAAAGAAAACAAATCACAAGGTGATTGTTTGAAATCGTTAGTGGCTATCAATCTGAACTATGTTGTTTTTTTAAATGTTTGCTTGTTTTGAACACCAACACAATTATTGCCTCCATCAGTATTCTTATTATGTTGATAATTCTAGTTTTAATCATAATTATCATTATTATTGCTGTTATTATTATTATAATGTTCGTAATATATTCATCATTATTATAAAGTACAATGTATATCATTACACTGTTTAAATTAAAAAAAATATCCGTGTACTTTAGATGATAAATACGACGAAATTTTTTTAACAAAGGAAGAAAACGTCTATGAAAAGTTCGTTCTCGTGAAATAATGGAAACAGCATACCAACAATAATGACGTCAGTGCCATTTTGTGACGTCTTTGAGCAATCGGTATTGCAAAGATCAGCATCGCAGCAGGATTTACATACCGGCGTTGACCGTGATTCTCGTGAAGAAGTGACGTCTGCTTGTCTCTTGTGGGAAATGCACTACAAAGTTTGAAAAACAAAAGCACTATTAGATATCTTATTCAAACAGTTGATTCTGGTTACTTTGTGTCACAATCGGCCTTCGTGTATATGAATGTATACATTTCTGTGCCTTTAAATTCGTACCGTGCATTTTTCTACATCAATGCACTCAAAATTGATTGTCAAATTGATATGTTTTCTAAATATGTTCATGAATCACATAACGTTTATCGGATATAACCATTTTATGCAGTTTTTAAGAAGAATCATGCTTGAAGAATAAATGTAGCTTGAGAAATGTCTTTTTTTTTCATTCTGTAAAAGTTCCAACATGTGTTTAAAATATTGAAAGAATGAGTTTTAAACAAACAGGTGGTGAAATAGATTGTGATTTAAACGAAGTGATTTAACTTCTATACAAATCACTAACACTGTACCAATTGTACAAAAGAAGCTAGAATGGTTCAGGTATTTGGCCAATGAGCAACAATTCTGAAACTGTAAGAGAACACAAAAAAATATTTTTTAAAAAATGAACGATATAATATGCATGTTCGAGGTCTATTTGGCCTTAAACTATAAAACCTTGCCCTAAGACCGGAAACTTAAAGTCCGGACATAGTTTTTTCACAGTTATTTCATGACTTGATATTGAATTTCGAAATGCTTGCCAAGTTTTTGTGTATGACACGACATCTTAATTTTGCGCATATCAAACTGACATGTATTTTAAAATCAACGCATAATAACTTGTTTGACCGGAACAACCATCAATGTACTTCTGAAAAAAATGTCCTTTCTATTTAATCGGACTAATTTTCATGATCTTGCATGCGAAACATTTTCTTAATGTGCCACATATTTTTTCATAATTAACAAAATATACATCCATGAAGGCAAGAAGCGACACTATATTATCTGTATGAACTTGTTATTTCTTGACCTTCTTATGCTCGACACGCATCCTTGATTATCTTTTTGTTTTTTATTCTAGCTACGAATGACAGTGTTTTGGGCGGGCAGACACGAACATCATTGCACTTTCATGAAATATTTCACTTCAAATAAAGTGATATTGTCAATAGCTGACAATAACCATTGGGTGTTTCTTTGAACAGACGGATTGACAATTATATCTCCATTCCAGCGGAAAGAAAAAGTTTGTTACGCACAATACCTGTTTGTTATGGCATTTAGTTGTGTAATGATCATACATCCCGTCAAAATCAAACTTTTCAATGCTGCACACCTTGAAAATAAATTAGTTAAAATTAGTTAATGCATAGTTATTTCTTGGCAATTCTTACCGATTTACCAACATTTGTTCAAAGTATAATAGATTCTACAATTAAAATGAATTTGTCTATAATAAGAGATCTGTAATACGATTAATAATTATGTTCATAACGTTTAGTATTATTCATGAGAACAAACTATACAAAAGAATTATATATCAATGTTGTCGGTAAGTGTTGGGTACATGATCCGATATGACACATAAATATATAGCAGATAATAAAGCGTTCTAGAACAAATATGATTTATTATGCATAATATATTTGTTAATATTAAATAAGTTAAGAACTCTATCAACATTTTGTTTTCAAGAAATATTTCATAAGAATATCTGTAATTTTTTTATTAATATTTAAAATACTTATGAAAAATAAGCCCATTGTAGACCTATCCACTTTAATAGGAATAAGATTATTTTCCTGAAGCCATTATACGATTATATATGATAGGAAAAATGTTGCATGGTGATGATATTTCAAAATGAGTTTGGAACAGTTACAACAGTTAAGAATTTATAGATATTTATAACATGCCTTTTAGTGGACAGTGAAATCATATTTTGATAATTTTACAGTGAAATTATAAAAGTAAGAGGGGAATATTTTAATTAGTGGCAACAACTCAATTTAGCCACGATTTGCGCGTTAAAGTACATGTATGATATGCCGTTTGGAAGATTATTGATTTCTCTTACAAGCATTCTATTTTCACACGATTTGCACGTGCAATAAATTTTTAGCAGAACATTTACAAACATGTGGTTTTGTATACTGGTTGTAAAATTGGCTGAGTTGCATTATTAAAGAGCTTTTTCAAATTTCGTAGGTTAGTGGGTAAATCTTTCTTGAAGGTAGAACTAATGTTAAGGATGATCCCCGCCCCGGGCGTGCAATTTCCGCTACCTCTGAAGTTGATGAGGATGCAAGATATACCGTGGAAGAGATAAGTGACATATCGGGCCTTAGTGCGTCATATTTGTTTTCCATCTCGAATGAAAAGTTAAAGTAAAAGTAAGTGTGTGCCAGTTGGATCCCGCATTTGACCAGAAAAAGGAGCGGGTCGAAAAAGCCTCGGCCCTATTTACTAGGTTCAAAGATCGAGACCCTCGACCCCTGAGACATATTGTAACAGGGGTTAAAACGTGGCTTTATTTTTTTACCCCGACAATAAATTCAGCAATAAAATGTGGGTAGATGAAAACAGCGATTACCCAGTTGTTGCAGGAGCGTTACAAGAGTTATGTACGCTCTATTTTTGACATTGGTGGCATAGTGGTCCGTGTCGCTGTGCCCGAGAGGGTTAGGGTCACTATTACATTTTACCGTGACAATATTCTCACTGCTGTTAGTTAATCACTACATTACAAAGAATCCAAGGTCCGGGGTACGCAGTATCAAATTATTCAATGATAATGCACCTGCGCAACGATAAACCTTGGTTCAAGTTTACTTAGAGCAGCAGAGAATTGTAGTTTTGTAATTTAGCTTTTAGGCCTGACCTCTCTCCTGGTGACTTCTGCTTTAATTCATACATTAAATCACGCCTTCGCGGTCGCCGGCTCGAACCCTTCTTGCCGCCAGTTTATAAACAGTTTAACCAAAAGAACAGTTCAAAAATGCTTTTTAGGAATGAATTCTTGGGCTGAAGTGTGTAGAGGTACATGGTATATATTTTGAAGGGCTCTACTAATTATTTTTCACAGGTATGACTTCTTTAAAAACACGCACTGCCGTCGCAACTCAAATGCCCATTTTATATGTATGAAAAAGGATTAGAGCCGAAACCGGTAAAGTTAATTAAGGTCTTCTATTTTAAAGTAATTCAATATAGCCTTTGCTTTTAATATCATGCTGAGGCTCAACTTAGTCATAAAATGTTAAGCAAAGTAGTAAATGAGCATGTTATAGAACTAAGTTATGAAGAATACTTCAAATAGCATGTATGCCGCATTTATTTCTACTGATTTCTATATATAAAACTTTAAAATGTGTGCATCTTACTTCGTCACTGGAACACAGCATTACTGATGTACATTCATCCATACTCGAAACATACGGGCAGTCGTAGCATAACGGTCCTCGTAAAGAAGCGGGAGGTAAACCTAAATTTGAGCATAAAATTGTATATGAAATACAGATATGGTGGACCGAACCGGAAAGGGATCAAAATTGTTCGTGGAACTGTTCATTAACTACCAACAGTGAAAGAATACCAGAACAAGCTCTTCTAGTAAAGCTGTACTATATATTTATATACCCGGTATCAAGATATTTGTATCTGATCTTTATTGTGAACCACAGGTGCAAAGTGATAAAGTATGCACACTTGTTATGGTTATTTATTGTTCAAATTACAAAAAAAAAAACAACATCATTAACATTTAAACTTGCCTTCAGCTCCACAGCCGTTTGAATTGCAAAGTGTTGATGAGCAGCAGTGAACACATTCAGAAGTACTCTGACTTGTTTGTCGTTTCTTACTAGAACATTGCTGTTAATACAAAATAAATGTGATATGTTCATCATTCATACTACATATTTGGTATTTATATTGAAAATATCATACGAATTTTTTTGGAAATTCGATCCACCAGCGATAAATCATACGAGCTTGAAAATCAAAAATTACATAATTAAGCGTGAAAGAAGTTATTGGTTGGTAAGACTTTAGCACTTAATCATTTATTTATATTTTTTACTAATTTGATTCGTGATGAAATGCCTATATTATTTCACAATATGTTTGCTTGCATGCGCAGCTTAGTGGCTAGGTGTTCGTTGGTATGTTTGTGTTCGAACCTTGTAGGCTAAGCATCCGCTGTTATATTTCACCTGTCCATTGTTGGTTCTATAGGTCTCCACATAACATACCTTAAACACAATAAAATAAAGTCATTGGATATCTAAAAGAAGAAAATTATCTAACCTTATACTATATCTGGCCAACTGAACGGCATAGGAGTACTAGTTTGCAGTACAGACTTTATTATAATTTTGGCATGAAAGTTTAAATTGTACCGTAAAACAAGAACAATTTTAAGGCACAAAAAAATGGAACGTGCATCTTTATCTGCTATAACGTTACCCTCCCTGGTTGTGTTTTTTTTCTATTGACCGTCTTCTAATGCAGTGCCCCAACATGCTCCTTTTTGTATGGCTTGACAACCACTATTGTTATGTATTGGATTAACAAATTGTCTTCTCTCTATATTGCCGTTTCCATTCCCGTCTATTGTGGCCCTTTCCTCTATAAATTTCGTCACTTTTTTAAACTCTAGGAATTTCTAGTACTAAAAGTATAATTTTCCGTTCATATATCGCTTTTGTTCGCCACTGCAAGTTTAGTGCCCTATCGGCTGTTATTTCTGAATATTATGGTATTAACGTTCTTTGAACGTTGTTCTCCTTGGTCCATCCATCCATATATCCATTAATCAATCCAACCCTTCTTTCTATCTATTAAAGCTCAATTAATGCTCCGATGTTATTTTAAAAGTATGGAAAAGACATCATCCCTCGGTAGCAATGAAAACAACAATATGATATGAAAGATACATTGATTGAGTCTCTACATGAGAGAAAATATAAAACATTTTCAATCCCGCTAGCACTCAGTTAAGCGGTATTCAACCTTCAACTTTAAATGTGCTGGAATCAATCATCCCGAAGGACCAGAAACATACAACACTGAAGCGAAATACGGCGCAACGCTTTACAGGTGACATACGACATTTGGCACTTGTTGTTGTAAGGCATATAGAAGGAAAACTTTTGTTTTGTTTGGTTTTTCGGCGGACCAACACAATTTAGGTAATATGGCGCCGGAACAGTAAAGATGATTTGGCTAACTTGGGGTGATACAAACTTAAAGCAACACCAGGGGTCAAAAGCGTCTCACCTGCTGGATCTAAGAGATGTATAGTCTCCAATCATTTGAACTCATTAAGTCGCCTTTAAACGGTTAAACGGTGGCTGTATTTATGATGCCTCAACACGTCAAGGCAAACCCTCTGCCACAAGGGAAGAGAGATAATCTAAAATTGCAACATCTCTCACGCCCCAAAAGTCAAGCGAAAACGAAAAGGAATATAAATGTAAAAGTTAAATTGGAGTGTAAAATATAAAAACAATACCTGTCCCCCCAAACATTTAGTGACAGTGTCGCACAGGTACAAGTGAGTCATGCCTTTACAGTTGAAACACTTTAGCCCGTCATTCTCGTCGCCTTCTAATCACAAATAAAAAACAAATGTTTGAACGCCACCAAATTATTTGCATTAAAATATCAATCATTCACATTTTTTCAATTTGTGAAACACGCGTATGCTTTTTTTCTCTTTTGGGTAATTACTAAAGAGTAAAGAAAAAATGTATTAAAAGTGTGGCATTTATCATCTTTGAGCTACACACCTCTCACTTCTTTAGCGAGTGTCTTACTACTGAACCATTGCCTGTCTGGGATATGTAGTGCGACAAAATAGCATACTAATACAATAATATAACGTAGTACCAGGGGAAGAATTCATCCTTGCTTCGACTTCTAAATAAATGTGCTTATTATTTTACCGATCACTTACGGCAGAAAATAATGTTTTTGGGAAACAATCTTAACATTACATATTCACTTACACTGTCGCGCCCTTAGTAAAAAACATCGTAGCCATTCGTTTAACGATGGCTGTTCCCGTAATCTCAAATCATAAGACCGCTTATCATAAAGAATACACCATACAATCGGTTTTCAGTAGGAGTCAAGTGACGCCACTCCATGAAAATGTTACTTACTGTATTTAAGTATACGTAATAAAAATAAAGTCATGTCTTGATAAACTGTGAGTAGTTCTTTCCAGAAGATGCTTAGTCGATATAAAGTCATGATTGCATTATTCTTCAGAATCATATTTACATTTTAATCATTGTATGACAAAAAACAAACATGATTGCTCCATTAAAAATAAATAAGTTTCGCAGTATTAAATAAGTTATAATGAATATAAGCTGAATATGTTTCTAAAACAATGAAAGGGCATATACCTTTGGAAACTTCCATCCCCAGTGGGTATCCGTAAGCAAATCTTGAAAAAAAGCCATATTGTATTGCTCCAAATGTTCTACCGGTCACGTGATACAGATGATATTCACCGGCTGACAATTTGTATACGTTAACTGTAAACGTCTCATTGTTTGCGTATGTCACATAGCTATGAAAGATATTTCCCATTTGGTTTCCATTGATTCTAAGTCCAGATATATCCTCAGTTTTTGCAATGATTGTAAGATAATGAGTAAAATTTTCGTTTGTTGCCATAACGGAGAAATGATAAGAGTTTCTATATTGATTGATAGCCGGGACTATAGACATAAATCCGTTGCCAATATTAGCATCATAATAACATGTACTGTACAACATCACCTGGACAGGTTTGTTTGCAGAAACGTACATTGAGTTATTACCGCTTAAAATTTCATGAAAATCACCAGCTTTCAAAAGAAGTTGCCTACTTTGTTTCGTTTTATTATGAATTGTTATAGATGTGTTTTGAGATGAGCTATATATACGAACTACATATTGTGATTTTGGCGGTACTGGAGGAACGATAAATTCTTGAGCGAAATGTTTGGTAGGTAAAAGCTGTTCCACTAAATATTCTAAAGAAACACCGCATGTCGTTTGTGATGTTCCAGCTTCGTGTCCAGAGAAGACGGCAACAGGTTTATTACTGAAAACGTCGGCTCCACTTAAATCATTTAACCGTCGAACGAGATACGTATCAAGTCTATTCAAGGTGACTCTTAATGTACTGTTGTCTATATCTACGTTAAAAGAGGTGTTGTCATGTACTGCCAAGACGAGAAAATTACTGTTATATGAAGAACCTCGAAGCGAGTAGCTTGACGAGATTATATATTCAGAAGATAACATGGAAGAAGGTAGTGCTACAAAACCTTCCCATGAACTGGCTGGATATTTCATAACAGTAAGTGTGACGTCGACATCTGTTGTCACGTGTATACCCTTGTGTTCCACTGTTGTATTTACCTTTGTTATGGTGTCACCAGTTACCTTGTATTCTAAATTTTGATTAAAACTACGTGTCGTGTTGATGCCTAAATGTGGTATGTAGATTATAGCCGTTCCTGTCATATTTGAGGTAATGAGTAGTGAAAACTGTGGATAACTCTCGGAGAAGGTTTTAGGTATACCTATGTAAAACTCTCGCCCGTAAGTACCTAAAAAAATGTAAAAGCACAGAATGTAAAGCATGATGTAGGGAGTAACGGTTTATAAAATTCCTGAAAAATGATTCAAAATAATTTGTGGCTTATCTAAACGAGAGTATCATAGGACTATAGAAGATTAATGGTTCTCTGGATAGATAACTAAATAATGAATAAAGGGTTTTAAAGTGTACATCAACCACATAGTATTCAACACAACGAAATAGAGAAAAACAGAATCCCTAAAGAAAGCCAAAGACGGCAAAATTGAAAATGTTGCAGGCTCGGTTTGAATGAGCCTGTTCATGGACGGTACTGGAAAATGCAAGTTACAGTCCACGCCCCCTAGCACCGGTTTAAGCAAAATTCAACATTTAAACACGTAACTGGTGAAAGTTTGAATTTAGAAACATCCGCAGTTGTGTTCATACGGCAATTATCATGGAACCTTCAATGTCACAAAGTACCCAGTAAACACATGACGTTAAAATAACGTCGGATTACCGTTAGGTTTTGGTCACGACGTCGGCGACCAAAATACGACGTTAATCTGACGTCCAAAAACCGATGTCGATTAGATGTTTCTTTTTGAAGTCGTACTAACGTCAGGTTCTGGTCGGTGTCCTGGCGGTGGGTAAAAAATTAACAAAAAATAATCCTTATTCGCTGTTGTAATCATTTAAACTTCTTTTTTTAAATGTTATTTGGCTTACAAATTAAGTGTGTATATATATATATATATATATATATATATATATATATATATATATATATATATATATATATATATATATATATATATATATATATATATATATATATATATATATATAAACAAGTGCCTTTCGAAGACAAAATGCACGCCGCTGCAACCTACACGGGGAGGAATCACGCCGTTCGTTACCCAAACAAACAAGATGGCGGATGCGGCCAAAAAGTATGGTTTTCCCTTTTTTCTCTGAAATTCGTGATTTTCTTGTGTTAAGGTACATATAACAACCTTCTCCACAATTTTCCTGGCATACAGACATTTATTTCATGAGGTTTCGTACCGTACTTCTTCTGAAATGTGCGTCACCAGATTCGAAGCGAGAGAATTTTCCACCGGTTTGATCGTGGTAACGTGCGGCTTCTTCACTCAAATTCACTGTTTCGTTTACACATATGTATATTAACTGAAACCACTGAATTAAAAAGTTGTAATATGTCGGCATCTAAGCATTGAATCATGCCCATTCCGGCTAGAATAACCGCTGAAAATATTAAAATCGGGGCATTTTCCGGAAATGATCACGTATGGCGCACAAAATAACAATGATAACGAACGGCGCATTTTTGTCTGCTTAATTGATTTTCTCTATAAGAGAAAATTTATGTTACCAGTTACCAGACATAAGAGGATTTGTAGAACCAAATAAAGAAACTGAATATTATTTAGTATTTGCATAATATCTATCATGTGTTTTTGTATCGGATAGAAATATCCGATCCGAGGGCTCTTTCGCAATGGGCTGTAACAATGCTTGCTAACTTAAGCCCTTGTACAGGTGCCAGTGGGATGGATATTAAAAACCGATAGGTAATCACGAGTGATATGTTTTCTTGCATATCATAGTCGAATATAGAGCAACTTTTCCACCTTTGGTGATCTTAATGTTTCGTCAAAAGTGAAACTTGATCGCAAATTTCAAATATCTATGTATATGTTAGTGCTCATCCGTACTGTTCTATAGTTCTAAATTATAGATTTTGACGGGATCGATAGCGAAAGAAGGATGTTTAAATTTCTGTAGAACAGCTACGGATGTATACTTACATACTAAGTGTCAAGCTTTTTTTGCACTTTATTACGTCACTAAGCTGTTCTATGAATTTTTATGAAAATGAGAAATTGACTATGGACGGAATTCAATAAAGTATCGTCTTTTGTTCCTCCATGAAATTAACGCACAGATTTTTTAAGAAATACAGCGCTTTCATTGGGTGAGAAATAAATTTGGACACTACATAAACTTCTATTTTCCATAGTGCTTAATAGAACCGTGTTCGTAAAATAGACAAGTATAGTGACGAAAGAAACTAAATATTAATGAAGCCAAATAAAGCTTGACACTACGTTTGTTAGTATTCATCCGTAGCTGTTCTACGGAAATAATTAAGAAACATTCTCCGCCGCTATCGCTCCTGTCAAAGTTTCTAAATTCTGTAGAACAACATAGATGAACACTAACTGATTACTACGCTACTATGATAATAGTGTTTACGAAGTATATGTTACTAACATATACTTCGTAAACACTATTATCATAGTAGCGTAGTAATTTTTACAGCTGTTCTTTCATAAAGATAATGACGTCATCTGAGCGCATTCATGAGCAGTCTAGCTTTAATGATTCTAGACGGGTTCTCGATCATGGATAAAACATCGAAATCCAAATCCGATTTGAAACTTTATCATGGTCGGTAAAATGTTTACCGCAAATTTCAATAACACTCTTTTATTGCTGATACCTGCAATACTATTTTGTCAGAGATTGAATGTTTTGGTAGGGCGTTTGCGAGAGAAAAAAAACGCCAAAATATGATAGGCAAATTTATAAATTGCATGTAATTGTTTTTTAATAAAAAACTGTACGGATATGCCGTGCAAATATATCTGACGTCATAGTGGCACAACGTCACGCTAAATAGAAAACGTTTCGTCAACTAAACTGGAAATTTCTTATTTAATAAATTTATTGAACTTTTTGCAAAACATTATTTTCTAACTAATTCAATAAATTCAATATAGAACCTATATTCATTGTTCTCTTTTATGAATTTTCTTTTAATGAGCGTATAAACACAGGCTCATCTCATCTGGGTGTAAGCTAGTCGCAATCACTTTTCGTTTGTTTATGTTTGACGTGGTTCAAATATTAAAATTTTCTTAACAGTAATTTGTTAACGTAATTTTTGAAAAGAAAATATATCAAGTCTTCCGTACCATTTTAACATTTTTGCTCTGGTGAATGCATTTCTTCTTTCTGATAATGGGATAAGACCATAATTATCGCACAACACTGTCGAAATTTAATGTGAAGACAACAATTAACAAATGTTTCCTGAAAATGGAGGATTTTTTTTTCGATTCTGCATTTTCTACAAAAATATTCTCAAACTATAAACGTGTGTTTTACTTGGTATATTTACAACGAATATTTATTATGCCACCAGCTAGAAAGATATTGATACCCGATGGTGCAGCATTGTACAATATTTATTTCTGAAATGACAAACTTTTTTTTTCAAATATCTATCATTTCCAACATACAAATAATTTATTATCAGCTGACTGGACAAATAGAAATCCACTTAGTAGAAAAATGCGCCGTACGTTATCATTGATACTTTATGCGCCATACGTTATCATTTCCGGAAAATGCCACGATAAAAATGCCCCGATATTAATCTTTACACCAGTAAATCTAGCCGGAATGGGCATGAAGGATAACTTGACAACATATTACAACTTTTCAAAGTCAGTGGTTTCAGTTAATATATATATATGTAAAAGAAACAGCGAATTTGAGTGAAGAAGCCGTACGTTACCACGATCAAACCGGTGGAAAATTCTCTCGCTTCAAATCTGGTGACGCGCATTTCAGAACAAGTGCTGGACGAAACACCATGAAATAAATTTCTGTGTGCCAGGAAAATTGTGTAGAAGGTTGTTATATGTACTTTATACAAGAACATCATGAATTTCAGAGAAACAAGAGGGCCATGATGGCCCTAGATCGCTCACCTGATTTATCAAACTCATCCAAACAATTACCTAGACAAGCATTCTGACCAAGTCTCATGACAGGTGAGTCAAAAATGTGACCACTACAGTGTTAACAAGGATTATCCATATTTGAGCAGTGCGACCTAGTTTTTTACCCAGGTGACACATATTCAAACTTGACCTAGAAATCATCAAAACAAACTTTTAGACCAATTTCAAGGATACTTGGATCAAAACAGTAGCAACTAGAGTGTTAACAAGATTTTTCTATTTTTAGCTCCGGTGACCTAGTTCCACATGCGATTTCGAACTCATCCAAGCAATTACCTATACAAGCATCCTGACCAAGTTTGATGATAATTGAGTCGAAAATGTGACCACTAGAATGTTAACAAGGTTTTTCCATATTTGGGCGGTGTGACATAGTTTTTTTCATCCAAGATGACCAATGTTCGAACTTGACTTAGAAATCATCAAAACAAACTTTCAGACCAATTAACAGAATATTTGGATCACAACAGTTGCCACTAGAGTGTTAACAAGGTTTTTCTATTTTTAGCTCCTGTGACCTAGTTTTTTATCCGAGATGACCCATGTTCGAACTCATCCGAGCTATCACCTAGACAAGCATCTTGATCAAGTTTGATGATGATTGATGCAAAAATGTGACCACTAGAGTGTTAACAACGTTTTTCTATTTTTAGCTCCGGTGACCTACTTTTTCATCCGAGATGACCCATGTTCACACTCATCCGAGCTATTAACTAGATAAGCATCCTGACCAAGTTTGATGATGATTGATGCAAAAATGTGACCGCTAGAGTGTTAACAAGGTTTTTCTATTTTTAGCTCCGGTGACCTACTTTTTCATCCGAGATGACCCATGTTCGAACTCATCCGAGCTATCACCTAGACAAGCATCTTGACCAAGTTTGATGATGATTGATGCAAAAATGTGACCGCTAGAGTGTTAACAAGGTTTTTCTATTTTTAGCTCCGGTGACCTACTTTTTCATCCGAGATGACCCATGTTCAAACTCATCCGAGCTATCAACTAGATAAGCATCCTGACCAAGTTTGATGATGATTGATGCAAAAATGTGACCGCTAGAGTGTTAACAAGGTTTTTCTATTTTTAGCTCCTGTGACCTAGTTTTTTATCCGAGATGACCCATGTTCGAACTCATCCGAGCTATCACCTAGACAAGCATCCT